TTTATATAAGGAGGCGAAGGTAATCATCGGGATGCACCCCAGCTGTGTGCATCGACAAACCAGTCGCTAATTACTGGAATGCAACACAGCTGAGGTGCAGAGCCCACAGGATAGAGAGAGCAGAGGAGAGAAAGACGGAGGAGAGGCAGCAGCCACCGAGCGGCCCTGACACAAACATCCATCATCTCCATTTAGAATTGTCAAACTGATAGAAGGTGAAGGCTGAGCTGTGTGGATGCAACATCTAAGGTGTACATAAAGCACAGTGATCAAAACACATTATACAAGGGCCAGGTGGTGCTTTGACCTTTTACTGTTATGCTGTTATATACTGTTATATATGCACTGTATGTGCATATATGCCAGCATACAGTACACATGGAAACGCACACATGCACACAGGCTTGTTGGTCTTCCTCATCTTCCTCCTCCAAACTAACAAGACTGAAAATGCGCCCAGCAAAAAGTTTAACACTGATTCAAAAATCAGCAGGGCATGAAGGCTGAGGCAAGAACTGGTTGCAAACATTTATAAACCCTCATCTTCAGTAATTGTTCAGTCTATTCCCTCATCACTATGTGACATCTCATCAAAAGAATCATACTAGCCTGTATTCTCTGCTCCACTTCATTCTCGATCATCCACACTGAATCACTTAATCTCCCATATTTATAGCACAGAAGCAGCTGCCAGCTGTGTGTGCATGTCCTTGTCTGTATGAGTGGACTGGTGCTGAGTTTAGAGTTATTCAGGTTCTGAATGTGGTGACGGGCAAAACAGGTGTTATTGCTTTGAGTGTTTCAGTTTGCTGTTCTTAAGAGTAAAGTAAAGCCAGTGTTGGCTGCTCATCATTTAGAAAAGCATTAACCTTGTTTGCTGTGAGCTGCAGCTCCCTCACATGCCGCCTCAGCAGTAAGATCATATAAAGAAACATATTAGAACATATAAAGAACTGAGCAGCGCATACTGCATAGTAAACATTACTTTGTTTATTGCTTACTTTACTTATTGTTATGCACACAATCATTTACAGTAAAACTGTGGCAAAATCAATTAATCTCAGAAGAGTTTTGGTAGTAGAGTTGTGTTATAGTGCTAAAATGCTAGGCAGCCAGAAAGATGCTAGTACCAATCAATCACCAGTGTTAGTGTCACAAGTGTAAGGGATTACAATTTGAAATGTAGTAATTAGCTAACATTACATTAGCTAATCCCAGAATGCCTTGTTACTGTTTTCAGATTATATATGGCATCAGACAAAGGCAGTACTGGAAAAGTAATCTCATGTGAAAAATGTTTCTGCCAACATGGCAAAAAATGTCTAAATACTGTTGCTGTTTTCTACTTGTCATAGCAGAATAGCTTAGCTGGATGTTGTTGTTCACATCCAAAAACACGCCAGCCTGAGAAAATACCAATACAGACACACAAGGATAATGGCATAATGGGGTAATCATGAGGCGATTGGAGGTAATGGTCAGTGAGATCCACCAGGCAGCTCTCCACAAACTCTGTCACTGTTCCCAATCACTACTCACCATATGTCAGCCTCCACAAGGTACCATGGGTAAAATTTATACCCAGCCGGTGGGTCAGGTTCAGACAGCAGTGGTATAAACTCAGGAAATTTAATGTAGTCATAGAAAAGACATCTGTCATTGTGACTTGTTACCTAGTGATTTTCTCAACAGTGGAAACAGTTATATTCACATTTGGAAAATATGACGGCAGCAGTTTTCAAAATAAGATATTGTTTAATAATCACTAAACTGGCTGGTTTGTATTGTGTCAGCATCTTAAATATTACATGGTGTGTTTTTCTGCACTCTCTCTCTCCATCACAAACACTGAGGTTACTGTTGGTGGAAGTGAGATTGCTAGTGTTGACAGTCACGAAGTGGATGATGAATTATTATATATGCTAAAATGTGATGAGGATAATTCTGTACTCCACTTACCAGGTCAATGTGGTCAATCTCTCTGCAGTCCTAACAACCTGAGAGCTTTCCGTTTCCACTGTGTGGGGTTTCCAAACCACAAAGTGACTCACCTGGTCAGGATGCTGCTCTCAGCTAGTCCCCCTTTGGCCTGTGTGGAGGGGTCAATAGCTCAGACCTGCTTTTATTGTTCCTAATGAAAGAAAGCTGCTGGAGAGCTCTGACTGAAGCTGTAGTGTTATTTGACCAGCTCAGGTTCCTAGAGTCATCCTAGAGACTTAGAGCCAGCAATCCATTCATCCTCAGCCCTGTTGATGGTTCAGGACTGCAGAGAGGATGATCTTGTAGCAGTAGTCAGGACCAAATCATTCCTCTGTCGGAACGTGGCGAGGTTCTCCATTAGCTGTTCTGTATGAAGCCTTGTTATTGATGCACATGAGTCCCAGGATAGTTGAGTCATCTGCAAACTTGAATATGAGATTGCCATCCAGGGTGTATGTGCATCACATGTGTGAGACTCAGACAGCAGCCTGGGGTTTTCCTGTGCTCAGCATACATACAAACATGGCCCTCATTTTATGGTTTCTTTATGTTATTTGATGCATTTTAAAATCTGAGATTTTGGCACATCTTTTCTTTTGTAACTGCTTTCTGGCTCCTTTGCATGATTTTTCAGATGCCCACCAAAATGCACAGGGAAAAACAAAATAAAACCTATGCACAAAAAAAAAAAAAATACAAAAACTAATATACACAGCTGTAGCACACAAATGTCCCTACACAAACCTTTAGCAAATCTGAGTTTACACATATAAACACCAGTGTTCCCAGCAAGGAATGTGGTGCTGAATTCCCTTCGCCTTCACAACTCTGTGACCTAGTGCGCTTATCGGGGTGGGATGCCATCAGGAAATAGACCTACCCCCCACCTGTGCAAAGACAAGTACTCCACACAGTCGTATATCTCCAGTGACATGCAGTTAAGTTAGAAAAATTGGTTCTCAGCACCTGATAAGTGTTATATATTGTACACAATGGAAGCCTTGGCAGCAGGCAGTGAAGGGGGGAAAAACTCCTTTAGTCTTTATAGTACAGTATATCCTTTTAAAGATTATGAAACTACACCTAGAATTCCATTCTTCGGGCATCAAAATGTCAAAATAAGTGACTCCAAACTTTGCCAGACCTATAATTTCTGTGTGTCACCTTTTCCCTCCAGTCATTCTTCTCTAATTTCTCAATTTCTTTGCACTTCAGTCCCAATTAATCACATTAGCTCTGCCAGTTTTTTGGCCACTTTCCATGTTCTTCTTTCCACACAAACTGGGATTTCGTCTCACACTGAAGTCGGGTTTCCTTCTACTCTCATTTGATCAGTTTTTAAAGTTTAGTGTGCAGGGGACCCACAGACGCCAGCCACTCATGTTCATTAAAGCCATTAACATTTTTCTTCCAGGATTATCCCTCAGAAAAACAAAAGCACTGAATGTGTGTGTGTTTCCTCTCTTCACAAGTCTCTCACAGAGGATCTATACAGTCACACAGTAGTAAGAAGTCAGCTGTCATAACTGATGTCTAGCAGCACCTCCTCCCTCTTGCTTCTTCTTTTCCTCCCCACTCTCGTCCCATTATTTTCTCTCATCAGTTTTCACTGCTCACTTTAGTTTAGCTCTTATGTTGTGTCTTCAACAAAGCAGTGCAGCATAACTCCACAAAACTTTCCATCCTGAATTTCATCAAAGCTGACACTCATAAGGCCCGGCAATTCATATTTGCCCTCTGTGTGGGACAGGACACTGTGGCCTTTATTTCAAACACCATGCTTGCAGTCTGCTTGTGTCCTAATGTCCTGGAAAGAGGACATCCATTCTAGTGATGTCACACAAATTGGCATGTGGCCAGAAGATCACAGACTGTCCGTACAGATTCTCAGTCATCCAGGTAAGCTGAAAAAACTTCTTCCCATCAACTGGACTAGGTTTCTAGGGCGAAGACGTTTCACCTCTCATCCACAAGGCTTCATCAGTTCTGAACTGATCACAGACTGTTTGTCTTCTGGGGCTCAGGAGGATAACATAAAATTTCATTGTTTCTGGGGAGACTTTTAATTGCTGCCAAAATGACTAGAAGTTAATGTGTTAATGTCATGCGCATTTTAGGGAAAACAAAGCAAGAGCTGAAAACTATTGTTTCATGCACCTGCATTACATGCTGCAAAGTGGTTTTGAAATGCAAAGAAAATGGCTGACTGTTGTCTTTGATGCAGTCCTCATTATCTCTCGTTGTACATGTCTGAGCTTCATCCTACTGTCACTCAGTCTGCCTTTGGCTCTCATGTCCTCACACCTCTTGTATAAGCTGTCCATCAGCATTCTTTCTCACTAGGTGTCTGCGAATGGTGAAAAGATTTTCCTTTCACCTGTTTTCAAGCACATTTTCAATTTGCATATATATAGGCTGCAGTGAAGATGCCCCACCTTCACAAAATAGTTGAAAACCACAAATTTTTACATTTGGCTAAGGTTGAAACGTTGGTGCATCGACAAACACAAAATGCAAAATACGTGTGATTCAAACAAACTTGGCAAATGGATCACGAAGCAGGAAAATTAAACATTACTTTAGTCTCCACTTGGCTGAAGGGACAAAAATTTGTGGCATATGAAAACATGTAAGATGCCATATTTCTATCTCCTTTTCCATGTGTTCATTCATTGTTTTAGGTTTGACTGCCAACTGTTTATCTCCATGCATCCAAAATAAACATTCACATAAGAGTTTTGGATGAAAACACACATTAATTAGCTGATTTTCTGGAAACCTGATTAAAATTCAAAACAACACTTTGTGCAAAGCCTGATAAAGCACAATTCTAGTAAATTTTCTTTCCTTTCCTATCCTGTTTACTACTTTGTGACATCTCAATGTCAGGTTGGGAACCACTAATCTAGAAGGTCACTCTTGAAAAAATGTTTTAGGGTATGTTTTACCTGAAATCTACCAGTGTGTTGGCGCTCAAATCTAACCAGTATTTACTTCTTCTGCCTTTCCTCCCTAAACAGGTAAATGCGTTTCTGTCCTTTGTGGTACCCATGGTGGCCATATCCGTGCTGAACGGGGTCATAGCCAATCAGCTGCTGCAAATGTTCCGTGAGGCGGGGCAAGACAACCGTGTCTGCATGATCAGGGGAAATCCCACCATGCTGAATGTTGCTATGGAGCCCAACCGCGCTCAGTCACTTCGCCACGGAGTTCTTGTTCTCCGTAAGTGAACGTTCCCCTCACATTACACACACACACACACACACACATGGGCACAAACAGGTTTGTCTTTCTATAGTTCTGGGGACACTCACTAGCATAGTGCTGGCATCAACCATCACAACTACATGCCTAACCCCAGTTAAACTTTAGTCTACACCACCATGGAGCAGAAGACGCAGACATACAATCACATATAATCAGCATTTATTCACAGTTTTACTATATCAAATTTTGTATACTTTAGTTCAGTTGCTCCATCAAACTGTCAGCGATCCGTGCTTAACTCAACTGAACAGATGTTCCAAAACCACCATATTCATCACTGTTATCTAGTCAGTGATGTAGAGGCAAATCAAATGTTGATAAACTATGAGCTATGAGACCCTCCTAGGTCCAAACAACAAACACTATGACATGGTGATTTATTTTGGAGTGGAGTTACAGAGGCATATTTGCACTTTCAGACTTTTGGGTTTGACTTTAAAATTATTATCAGAAACAGTGGAGGTGTCAGTAAACAACAGATAATAAACACAGCACAGGTGAACCATTCATGGCACACCAGGTCTTTATACAAAATGTCTGTTTTTGGGATTAACTCTGCCCTTAATTTTTCACAATGCTTTATATTGTAAATGTATATGTTTCAATGAGTTTTTCCAGCTATACAGTAACAAGTCATTGCAGAAACATACTGGGCTCTGATCCCCTGTTTAATCAAGGGACCGCTAAGAACAACTCACAGATCTGTGTTTGACATTTATGGCTTACTATAATGATTCTGCTCTCACTGTTCTGACATCATCATATCACAGATATAATTTAATCCTTAACCTGATCGAGGTAGGTGGCCAGACAGATCCAGTTTTGTTGTTAAAAGTCCCAATCACAGCAGATGTCGCTGAGATTTGTCCTAATATGCAAGGAGGAGAAGTGTTGCACTTTAAAAACAATCCCTTTGGTTGGAGGATGCCAGGCAGTTTCATTTAGGAAGAAAGCACTCTGAATTGATATCTGATACTCCTCTGACTGTGACTGCCATGTTTATCACACAGAGACAGACTCATCATCAGTCACATATGCTTGATGTTCTGTACTCATCAGTCATGTGTGACTGAGATATTTACCATAATGAGACGCAAATTACTTCCCAGATCAAACCCCACTATGGGGGTTGAAGTTTCTGAGCGATGTTTCCTTGACTTGTGTACCTTTGCGTGTCCAAGAGAATACTTCCGGCACTCTGAATTGAATATTACAAAGTTATTTATTCCAGTGTTTACAAGAACGTTCAACGTTTTACTTTTTTAGAACAGCAAAAGCACTACGGTTCGAAAACTGTGTGGCTCGTTCCTTCCCTGCCTCCCCTCACTGTCCCCTTTTGCCTACGTCCGAGCCTTTTAAAGAGCCAATAACATGAACATGATAACAACAGAAAGTTACCATAACCGTGAGTTAAACATTAATAAGGAAATGAATTTAACTAACATTGCCTATCTCGTCAAATGAAATAGACTATTCCCTTATACTCACAATGAATTTTACATAATGCAAGATATATAATTAAATGAACATATTAAATGAACATATAATCACAATTTGGCTCCCACACCCACTTTCTCTGTCTCTCTCTTTAATTTAATTGTAATGGCTTATATGTGTGCGTCTGTCATAATTCCAACTTAATGTGTCTTAATGCAGAAGCCAGCTTGTCATAATGACATCATCTTTTTTCAGCTTTTATTTATCACTCTCTCGCACTATAAAACCACAGATTTAGCCAACAGTTAATTAAAGCTGTCAATAGTGATTCATAGTTTCTAGGAGCCAAAAAGCAGTGTGGTCATTTAAAAAAGGCAAGGTCTTATAAATGAAGCACACTTCAAACACAGAGGCAATTACGTGCATGCTAAAAATATGTTCCTTTTCTTCTTGAAGGTTAAGCAAGACAAAGTCCAGAGTCAATGTATTACTCACACTAGTCCATACACAAATCAAGCAAGTTTGAGCATTTGTGGAATATGAGAGCTGCTCTGCTTTTATTGACTTCATAGTGATTGTAGACTGCTAAACCAAACACATTCCACATGTATTGCATTTGTATTAACAGATTTTTAGAGGTGGACCTTGTGACTAAAGTCATTTTGTCCTGCAACCAAAATCATTCAGAGGACAACTCCTAATGTGGCAAAACTCTATCTATATCTATACCTCTTATACCCTTAAGAGGGTTGGAGGAGGCTGGAGCCAATCCCAGCTGACATTGGGTGAGAGGTGGGGTTCATCCTGGACAGGTCGCCAGTCTATCACGTACACTGGCGACGCAATGTAGAGTCAATGAAGCTAACCTGCATGTCTTTGGACTGTGAGAGGAAGCTGGAGTACCCGGAGAGAACCCACGCAGGCACAGGGAGAACATGCAGAAATGCATTGGGTTGGCCAGGGCTCGGTGAAACAAAAATGAATAAGATGTACTTTTCTAGTTTGTCATTTTGGGGAATAGGCTCATTTGCTTACTTGCCTAGAGTTAGGTGACAAGATTCATAACACTGAAAATGAAGTTGCAACCAGCAGCTGGTTAGCTTAGCTTAGCATGAAGCCTGAAGGATGGGAAAAGACCTAACCTGGCTCTGCCCAAAATTAATAAAATCTATCAGCTAGTGGTTAAGGTGCAGTGCTCTAGCCGCTGCGGCCCAGGTTCGAATCAGAGTTGTGTCAGGAAGGGCATCCGGCATAAAATACGTGCCAAATGTCAACATGCAAGTTGTCAGTGTGACGATTCGCTGTGGTGACCCCTAAACAGGAAAAGCCGAAAGTGACTTTCTTTCTTTTCAACCAACAACTTTAAAATTGACCACTTAATAGATTCTTGTCATGGTTAAGTCCCCCTCACCAGGAGGGTGAGGGAGAACTGAGGTAGGACTGAAGATGGCTGACCCAGGTGCTAGTAAAAAACAGGTGGTTTTAATGCTGGGGCTTGCACAAAGGAACAGAGGCAGTGAATACATACAACCCGGGGCTGTGCAAAGAAGGCTGAGGAGAACAGGACGATCAAGGGAGTAGACAGACTGACAACTGGAACTGGTTGGGCGTTACTGTAGTTGATGTCTGCTCCCAAGCTTAGATCGCCAGGCTGCACTCTATTCCATAAAACATATTCTCCGCCTTCCACCCAGTTTGTACCGATCATTCTCTGTGGACGTGGTAAAACAGAGCTATCTTACTTTGTAGCTGAATTCTTGCTTGGTTTGTTGACACAGCTTCAACAATAATTTATGGTTTGCAATTTTTTTCTTTGTGTAAAATAATATAAGCACTTGTTTATAAAGTGTATAAGTCTTGCCTTTTTTAATTGAAAGGGGACTGGACATAAATCCATTATTGTGCTGTGAGATTGTATCAATAGTGCTCACTTAATTAAATTTAAATGAGAAGCCTAGGAATGCAATAGTGCTTGTCCATTATCATATTCTCTATCTATTTATTTGAAGTTGGGAACAAAGTTTAGTTCCAAAGTTGTGGTGAAGTCAGGTTTCAGTCAGTTAATGGTGAGACATATGAGGTCTTGTATTCAAAGAGTTGTGATGGCAAATGGTGGGTTGCTATAGTTTCAGAGTAACTGTTTCTGATAAACCCAAGTGTGTGTGTGTGTGTGTGTGTGTGTGTGTGTGTGCCTTTGTATTTTTTACATTATGCGACTGAAACCTTTTAACGTACAAACACTAAATTTTAGGGAGGCAACATGGTTTAAGATTAGGTGTTAGGCAAGTAGTGGTTATGATTAAAGTTAGGATAAGTCTATAGGAAGGACTACACGGGTGCAGCGTAATCACACTGCTGTATGCAGTGTATTTTGCTGCTGCTCGAGTGTGCTAGTGTATTAAAGCATTCCAGAATTATATATGCCTCTGTTGCTAATTCAAGGCAACAGACTGATGGCCAGTTGTCCTTTTAAGATATGTGGATATTTAAGCAAACAGCACACATTAGTATGTCCATCACAGAATGGAAAACTACAGTATCTGGCAGCATCATGGACTGAGAGTGTTTCCTCACTATACTGTTGCCTGAATTATACCTGTGCTGTACTTAACTTCATGTAGAAAATGTATGTTCGACCCTAATAAAATGTCTCCTGACAGGCATACGAGATGGAACTCAAAAATCTGTATGTTTTCATTGTGTGGCAGCTTATCATGCAGTGTTAAGTGCCCCTTTCAAAGTACCAGATGGATTTCCTGCAGTGTCAGAGGCTCTCCAGAATAGCAACATGCAAGTGAACCAAGATGTTTTACACGTTTCTCAGCAAAGCCTTTTAGTTCTCTACAGTATACTTTCAAGAGCTTGAAAGGTTTCTTTGTAACCTGAACTTCCAACTGTGTTTGAATTCTGGAGATGTCAGTAGGGTTCTTCTAAGAAGCTGCTGGGGAAACAGCAGCTGCACATTAAGACAGCAGCTGTGATTTATTTATTTTTTTTAATTTTATTTTATTGGTTTATTTCTGTAGGGACACTTGCAACTAAACTAAACACTGTCACATTCAGTCAGCCAATGCAGTGTGTCTAGCTATAAGCTCATTTGCAGCCTCATCCCTGGTTAGGCTGTTAAAAGACAGGTTCAAACATGTGAGAACAGACACTGTACCTTAATAGGTAAAATCGGCTTAAACCAGGATTGTGATTTTAAGTGTGGGTTACCCTAACCATAACCCCTAACCCATGGTTGTGAGCTTTTTACTAAGACACATGACTGACCAAAAGTGGTTCTGCAACTTTGAACTCTGCAGCCATGGGCAGCCTTTGACTGTTCATGGGTATTATCACAGTAAGGTATGTGAATATAGACAGGTGACAAATGAAAAGACAACCCATCATAAAGTGTCTCAGTCAGGTGTTGGGCCACCACGTGCCACCAAAACTGCTTCACTGCTCCTTGGCATTGACTCGCCAAGTCTCTGAACTCTACTGGTGGGATAAACACCATTTTTCTAAAATACATTCCCTCATCTATCTAACACATCACTCTAACATCTCCCACAGGTGTTCAACTGGATCTGGTGACTGTGCAGGCCACAGCATATGATTCACATCATTTTCATGGTCATTAAACCAGATGGTGACCCCTTATTAATTATTTAATTTATATTACTTGGTCTGATGTTTCTTCCTACCAAGATTTTGGACCATGGTCATTGTAACACATACAGTGAAATTCTCTGCGTGGCAGGTTGTGCATGATTTCATCTGAGAATCTTTATCTGAAATTAAACTTAGAAAGTGTCCTGTTTTCATAATAATATAACAGGCAGTGCAATTTTTACAAGGACAACAGCCTTTGATAAATGTGCTTTTTGCTCTAACTATATCAGCTTATGTTTTTCTTGAGGTTTTACTTGAGGTGCAGTCTGACTTCATCCAGTGCTTCTTGTCTGGAATCTGTTTAGGAGACAATTGGCTGCATAAATCACGCGCCTTCTTCTGGGAGACACAGCTGAATCAAATTTGAACATACCAGCATGAATGATGTTTTCGATTTAGTGTGACATGCACTTTCTTCTGTGTCCATCATAAATAAAATGCTCATTTAAAAATGATAGGGACCTACTGTTACTCCAAAACCTCCCTGAGAATCATCATCATCACTACAAGCCATACAGGAACACTAATAGCTAGATCAGTAAACTTTAAAAGGTGCCACTTTGCACTTGTATCAGTTTTATTTCAATAACAGATTTCAATGTTGCATGTGTTCCTGTGGCTGTAGGTTTCTATTTTTAAATGCACTGAAATCCAGTTTAAATTGGTTTCCCTGTTCATGTGCAGGGTACAGTGGCAATTTATGCAAAATGTCACTGGTTTGTTGAGCATGATTGGATGGTGGCACATGACTTCTATGTCCTTTCAGTTCAACTCTGAAAGATACTATTATTATATCTATTCTTGGCCTTCAATACAAATGTACATTTTTAGTATTTGTTCAAGCTTGTAAACATTCACATTATAATCAACTGAACATTTGCACTTAGCATATAAACCATTTGACTGTGTGTATTAGTTTACTGCTTAAGATGTATGTTTGTTTGGTATCTGTTGACTTTTGACTTCTTCTTCTTGGCTTCTCATACTGTCTTTTTCTGTCTTATGTCCAGGAGTGGTGGTCATAGCCTTTGTGGTCTGCTGGCTGCCCTATCACACTCGCCGGCTCATGTTTTGCTACGTCACCAACTGGTCCGAGTGAGTAAAGGTTCTTCATCGCCTCTTATGCAAGACAACCTCCAGGGGCTTATTTGTTGCCCTGATCTCGGCAGAAATACACAGGTTTCACGCACAGACACACACACATATTGGCTATAGCCATAATTTAGAGGGTCATCCGTCTGACAAAGACAACCAGGGCAGCACAGATTCATCATCCTGATTAGATTGCCTTCATTTAAAATGTTCATCCTCTCTCTCATTTGTTCTCTCCCTCTCTTTTTTCTCTTTATTATTGATTAGGCCTTTTCCAAACTATATAATGTTTCCCTAATTGAATCAAATTGACACCAGTTCAGTAAATGAATGTGAGTGCTGGAGAAGTCTCTTTCTTCTATAATATACTGAAGCCTGAGCCATGTAAAGCCTCACAGATAAAAAAAAAAAAACCCAGAACATTCTAATTTTTTGGAACTGAGATGTTTATTAAACCTTTTAACAAAATTCAAAAGAAAATTAAAGATTCAAGATTTTTATTTGCCATTTATACATAGACAGACAGTCTAGGCATATAGGAATAAATGTGCCATATTATTTTGTTTATTTTTATTTATTTTTTTGTATGGGGCATTTTTGGCAACTTTTTTTTGCTCAGAAATTTACGTAGCAAATATGATACAAATGGTTTTATAGGGTTAAAATGCAGGAACAGAGACTCATACAGTTCTTCCTCAGATAACACATGGCCAGTCTACTGTAAACACACTGCCTATTCAGTGGTTAAATCTAAATATACACTAATATACACTACTGGTCATATGTTTTAGAGCTCCTCCCTTTTTCCAATTACTCTGCTTGCTCATAACTGGGTCAGATTCAGTGGTTGGACAACTGAGCGGACCCGGCTCTCAGAGGTGACTGCCCCTATAAGCCAGCTGGACCAGCCACTGCTTAACCTGAGCAAAGACATTGCAGGTGCTTTAACCTTTTACAGCAAGTTAATCGATCAACAAATCATTAATTTAAAAGAAGCACAATTTAATTATTTTTTGTAACTCATAAGGCCACATAACATATCAATGTCCCAGCTACTGTGAAACTGAGTTGTGTGGTTGATGGCTGGTGGTCACACACCCGTCACCATAGACACAGACAGGTTCCTCTGCATGTTCTCTTCATGCCTCAGGCTCACCTCTTTGTTAAATGTCCATAAAACAAACTATATTTGGACTGTGTGACAAAAGCATCAAATATTATGTTATAGGCTGTTTATTAAATGCAGAATGAATCGTCCAACCTTAATATAGACCACTATGTGTAATGTATTATGCAACATATCATTTTATTTCATGTAATACACCTATCAATAGGGTTTTAAGAGCAGTCCAACTGATCATATGCAGTGATGTACAGAGTTCTAATTTACTTCACATTCAACATCCACGCCTGGTTACATACTAGCTAATTAAACCAAGTAGGTCCTACCTCTCTCACCCTCATCTCTCTGAACTTCTTCCCGGTCTCGGCCTCCTCTAAAAGATTTTCTTATGTCCATCTACAGGAGCCAATCATGTATTAGTCATTATTCAAAAACTTAATTTAGTCCCTGATACATGCCTCAGTCCATTCCTTTTTATTGTTTTGTGCACCAATACATGGATTGCTGAGTGCACACTGCAGTACATGACATGCACAATCTGCATACATGCATGCCGTGATCCTGACCACTGTGCCTCAGCTTGTATTTTGCTTTGACATTCTGGATTAGAGCAACAATTCAGTTTTTTCCCCATTATTGTTAAGCTAAATGAATCCACTGACAAATATAAAAGTTTGTCAAAACTGGAATGTGTGATTTTATTGGGGGACAGCAGATCAATACTGGGACATGTGCCCTATTAAAAGGGGCCTAACAATGCCTATAATTCAAACCTTTCTGTGTGGAGTTAACATGTTCTCCCAGGGCCTGCATGGGTTTTCTCTGGCTTCTTCCCACAGTCCAGACATGTAGGTTGACTGATGACTCTGAATTGCACTCTACAGGATAAGTGGTGCAGATAATAGATAGGTGGATGGATGCTAATCCTACGTTGGTGCTGGTGTGTTTTCAGCATCATGCCTGAAGTAGAGGCATTACTGACTGGAAGGCACTGTTAATTCCCTCAGTAGATTTTTGCTACAGGCACACAAGAAACCACAGGGTACATCATCTGCATGGTCATGAGTCATCTCTCCTGTGATGTAAAAGGACAGCTGTATTTGGTTATGCTACATTTCAGATGTAAAGGAGTATCTGGGAAATATTTTTGTTCTGCATGGTAAAAGGCAGCAACAGAAGATCACTCATTCAAAGTCAGTAGAAAGGTTGTCAAGAAAATTTGATTTCTTGATTTCTTCTGCTCGCCTTTTGAGATGTCCTTGGTATACATTTTGTTAGATGCTGATGGAGACAGAGGACAGACGGAGACCATGATGGGAGGGGAGGGTGTGTGTGTACTCAATACACACTGCATTGTGCCACTCAGTGTGTATATAAACATGCCCCTGATAATAAATATTGCAGGGGTGTTGGCATGTGAGACAGCAACAGACATGGGGCTCTGTTTTGGTGAAATGCACAAATCACAGACTGTTTGGGCCATGTTGGCTGAATTTTGCTGTTTTCATGGCAAAAAAGCATCCAATGCAGTGTGTGGAGTGGGATTAGGAGGTACACTATCAGTGAGTGTTGTAGGAGCTGGTAGAAGCTACAGCCAGTCCATTTTTTTGCTAGTAATAGATGTCCTCTTTGACAAATTCATGACAGTCAGATTGGACCTGAGTGAAGAGGAAACTGACTGAATCACAGAATCAGCACATCAAAAACCATGGCACCTATAGTCCACAGTTTGCCCAATGTCATGTGTAATTTTAGTGACAAATGTCTGCTGCTTGATGGATTCCTGGTCATGTCAGAGTAAAGATTCACTCGTGGCTCATGCATCATCCTCCATTAGTTGATATAATGAAAAGGTCTTGTTCAGTACCATCCTTGTTGTCCCTTTCAATCCTGTCCCAATTCATCTTTAATATAGTCCCTACATGCACACAGAAACACACATCATTGACTTTTCTGCCCACTTCAGTGGATCTTTTTTATTCCATGAGCAGAACAGATCAATACGCACGGTTCTAGTAACTGATATGATGCCTGGGAGTATCTGTACTATACTGAAGTGTTATGACCTGCAAGGTTTTGTTTTCCATGTATTGTCTGTTTGTGTGTGCGAAGCTGTCTTTTTGCATTGTGTTGTTTATATATACCCTCTGCTTGGTATTCATTCATACCTGCTTTACCTGTGCACAGAAACAAAAACTGTGCTGTACCACACTCAATTTATTAGGTACACCTGTACAATTGTATACAATCTAATTTAACACTTCCACCTTAACATCGGTGTTTATGAAGCTCAAAATATTTCAGTTCCAGCTGAAATTGTCATAAATGTATAAATTCAATTCCATGTTCATTACTGAGGTCATAGTTAAATGTGGTGTTGTACTGGACTACATTATACTCAGAGGTGTTCCTAATATTTGGAAGTGTCGCATTGCAATGCATACAATTGTACTGTTGTGCCTAATAAAGTGACTAATGAGTGTATATGTTCTCATGTCTTGATGGTTGACTGATCTGTACCCTGGGAAAGCATTTGCTCTGCTGCTACACTCTACAACAGTGCAGCACGTTGTTATAGTTGAACTGAACCTTTTTTTCTTGGTGACTTGTCTCTTTACTTGATCATACTTGTACTTAATATAAATAATACACATTAATTTATTCATCCATTCATTTATTTTTTACTTGTATTGATATCATCCCATACATTTGTGCTTTTCACTGGGAGTGGATTTTTCTCTTGATGCTGACTGATGATATCCGCACTGTAGTTTGATTGGTGCGATATCTGTGTGAGCAGGCAGCCAACCAGCTAGAGGCTGATGCCACTAATCATTGCTTAGTCCAATGGGATCCACCTACAGTATGTTAGTTTATGACTTCATATGTTGCTGAGGTTGCAGGAGTACCTGTTGCAGTGAACCAAAACTAGAACCTTGAAAGACAGAAGACTTTCTCTGTTTCCATTCAACTTAGCACACTGCAGAGATGAATAACATGACAGCTAGAAGCTGGAAAATGCTAGTCTGCTGCTGCTGCTTAGGGGCTTGTGTTCTCAGATGTAGACCTTGTTTCCTGTTCTAAAGAATGAATATTCACAGCAGCTGCAGTAACATTACACTGTAGATTATATTTCCTTGCACAAAAAGTGGGGATTCAACTTTTAGTTTCACTTTGAGCATGTACTCTGGATTCCTTTAGTATTTGTTGTTTCTTTCTTCTCCTCGTCTTCCACTTGTTTCTTTTCTTACTCTCAGTCCACTTCCTGTTTCCTGCGCCATCTTATGTAATCTTTGTATCCTTAAAATCACTCTCCTGCCCTGCAGCACAGCTTAATCTCCCTCTTCCTCCACCTCTCTAACCGAAGTCAGATGGACAAAGCCAGATCAGTCAAGTTAAAAACACATTCTCTCTCTCTTGTGTATTTCTAGAGTTGGCTGGCATTGAAAAAATTGGATATAATAGTCTTTGAAATAAAAATTTTACTTTTTTTAGTTTATAGCATAAAACCTTGCAGTACCCTACTGCAATGCAAATAAAATAAATGTGCTCCTTTTGTACATTTCTACACACTGTTTTTGTTTGTTTGTTTTTTACAGAGTAAATGTGACTTATGTTCCTTGTGTATAGCTGAAGATTAGATATGTACTAGAAGGACTTCAAAAGTTTATCTTATTCTTCAGTATATGCATATTTCATTCCAGTGAAAATGTTTCTCCTTCCCACTGTAGCTTTGACAGCATTAATAAAGTCAGAGGCTGGCAGGAAGCCTATAGCAACTTGGAGATGCTCCCTTAATAGTGGAACTGTTGATAGTGTTGGCATCATTTCTGGCAGTGGCCCGGCAAGGCCTAAAATGAACAATGGCAACTAAAGTGAAGACTGTAGGGTCAGGGTAGTGGATTCTTTCCAGACATTAGTGTGCACCAGACATCACTCTCTCTGTTTGGCTGAATAAATCATCTTAGCCTGATTACTCTTAACAAAAATTATGTAAGTATCTGCCCAGTGGAATAAGACAAGATGGGATCTCTGCTCTTTACAATTAAACAAGGATGGGACCGGCCTCAGCCTCTCTGTGTCCCTTGGTGATATTTTTGTTTCAGGGCCACCTCTCTACACCTTCCCCAGCTTTTAAATGTGGCCCATGTTTGTCATTTAAATGCTTGGTTTAAATGCCTTTTTGGCATTTAACAATATTTTTCAGATTTGTTGTCTGTAATTGCAGTGGGCGATGGGACATAAGTGTTCTTTAGATTCAAGAGAGAATATTCACAAACATGACAAGAAGTCACTTCTGTCATTCTTCTGCCTCAAGTCAACAAAGCCACGACCCAGTAAAATGTCTGTATATAATTTAATAGTAAGGTGTAAATGTTTAAGATGCTCCATGTTTCTATTTAAAACACTCCACACACAACAATGGCTCTCTGTCTTCTGTTTCTGTTTCCCACCAGTGACCTGTATGACTTCTACCACTATTTCTACATGCTGACCAACGTCCTATTCTATGTCAGCTCCGCCATCAATCCAATCCTCTACAACCTGGTGTCGGCCACCTACCGCCAGGTCTTCTTCTCCACACTGCGCTACTTCTGTTTGCCCTGTCGCCATACGCCCAGGAGGCATCGCAACCCGCTGACCCGCCACTCCATCAGCATCTCCAGCAACCACACCCTCTCCACCAACATCATCAGAGAGACTGCATACTGATAGAGCTGCAACAGAAAACGCTTAAAACAACCCACTGCTGCTACTTTGTGATCACTGGTCCAACTTCATCAAGGAAATGTTGCTACTGGGTTGCAGACTGTTAGCACAATCCGATCCAGTGCTGGCATCATCATTGTCATGTGGAGCCAAGTGCCCATCCTGGGAGCACCGTTGCACACTTTATTATGCCTCATTGTGTGTTGTATCTTTGAGCATAACATGACTTTATGTGTACAGTATATGACATGACTATAGAAGAATGATGAAAGGAAGGAAAAACAGACATGAACAGACTTCATCTTTAAAACGGACAGTGGTATGTAAATGTTTTATAAATGATGTGTCTGTACAGATTTTTTGCTGAGCCAATCATTCACACTTGCTTTGTTAAATGAGTGTGAGGGACTTTTTAAGCATCAACTTATAAAGCTTCTTTTTAAAAGCAAAGGACCTCTGGCAGCACTTTAACTAGTGCTAGAGCTCTGATATAGCGTTCCTTTGTGCTGTTTGGGGACAGCATCTGTGGATAAATCTGTCCTTGATGTTAGAAAAATGGGGGACAGAGAGCAGGTATTTCTTTGTCTTGCTTCAGCTTAGCGGTATTAGAAGAATTCCTCATTGCTCCTTGCCTCTCTTGACTTTGTCACAAGCAGCGTTTTAACAAAACTAATAGATCAGCTACAAAGATAATCTGGCAAGCTGCAGGGTGTCCTCATCACACTTCTTAGACTCTGAATGGCATGGGCTTTGTAAATATTTGCAGACATATATTATGACTTTCTGGTAAGAATTGTCTGACTTCATAAAAGCTATTTAAAAAGTTAGATAGGTGGGTAGACAAAGGCGAAGTAGCTTGATTATTTGTAGTATTTGTACATAACAGTAGTAATCATGTGCGAAGAACAATAAATGTTGGAAAGGAGTTGATGCACAGACACAAGCGTGCGTACCTGGAACACAGTGGTGGTCCTGTGGGAGCAGAGAATGGAGCACTTCAACACTAACACAGAGCGCCTGCTGCAGTGTTTTCCCACCAGCTGCTGCTTGACAAATCGGAGGCAGGCAGAGATCTTTGCTCTATTCCAACAGGAGCAACAGAAAGATGTGAAACTATCTGGACTCTTGCTACAGAAGATTAGTGAATTGCCATTTATCTATGATTCAGCAGCTTCATTTTGAAAGACTACTGTGTGCCAAGTAGCAGAAAATGCTTTGATTTCATCCGCTATACAGCCGTTTCATTCCAGTATAAAAGTTTGACCAGCAATGCATTTTCTACTAGCCTTTGACAGATTATTTTTAGCACAGTGCATCAGCCCAGTATCCCCGCACATAACGTCCATGCTGGCTGATTCCATACCTCATTATTTACATCCAGTGCTGACTTTAAGTGTCAGTTCAAGAAGTTGTGTGCCATCTTGTGTAGCGAAGTGGAAAATAACCTTTTGGAGGTCGAGGTGACCACAGACCTGCAGTCAGTGAATGTCTTTTATATTAACTGTGAGTACAGAAAGGGGAGGCCTCACTGATTTCAACTTGCTACAAATGAAAATCAGTGGCTGCAGTAATGCAGTACCAGCATCGGCTGAATCAGTCAGTATTTGCACTGTTTAAATTATCGAAGCCCTCATTTTTACATGCACAATTTTATGTTTGCAAGGTTAATTACCACAGGTTATGTAAATATATCGTGTTTCCAAAGTCCTATGAAAGGGTCCATTAGTAGTCTTCTTTACAAAAGAGGCCACTGCAATGGTAGTGGTTGCATAATTTCATCATTTGCCCTGGTCTGCAAGAGACTGTGTAGATCTTTATGTGAACTATCCACACTGCTGAGCATGCACCAGAAAAATAAACTGGATACTTATTTCATGCACTGAATGTTTGTATCATGTTCCACGTCCTTGGTCCTTATCTAGTTATGCAGCCATGTACTTTTTTCATGTTATTCAGCCACATAGTAATGTTTTTCTATTATTTCCCGCTGTGATCTGAGTTGTTCCGCTGTACATGTTGAGAAATCTCTGTCCTGCAACTTGTCCACTACAGCTTTGAAGAGGTCAGCATTTGCTTTCTCTCAACTAAATTTCCATGTAGCCTATATTTACAGTAACCTTTTCATTACTGAAAGGTAAAGTCCTGTCTTTTCATTGCTCCAAAAGTGATGGTTTTGTTACTGACATCACATGGATGCTGCAGCCGCACAAGTGCAGATAAGACATATTGCATACATGCAACAATATCCCGGATTCTTTTGGAGTACTCCAGCTAGCATATTTAGGTTTCTCAAAACCAAAATAGGAGCTTTTCCAGGTTTATGAAATTGGGATATGATGTTTAATGTGCAAACGCAAAAACATGATACTTCAAAAACCTGATCACAACCAGGATACTTATATACAGCTTATACACAATGAAAGAGTGATATCAAAATGCTACAGTCGAGCAAAATGATCAACAGAGATTAAAAATAATCATAGTTTTTATGTTGTGTTTATGTTTTTCACAGTTTACAGCTGTGATCTGTACTGAAAACGTGTTAGCGGTATTTTTGCAGCACAAGTGTTGGGACACATTGGAGATTTAGTGGGCAAAAGGAAATGTGGTTTAGTTATAATGAATGTTTTTAATATAATGTAATTAATTAATATTGGTGACAGTTGCTAGCTGTACGTTGTATTGGCTGATATGGCTCTGTTCCTGTACAGTACATTGTCTGTGTTGTCGTTGAATCTGTGGAGGCTTTAACCACTTTATATTGGCTCCATTACAACTTATAACATAATATTCCCTAACCCACAGATTTCCCAGGCATTCAGACAGCATATCATACTGAATGAAATATATGAAAACATACTGTACAGCCCATCAAACTTGACAAACCATTCAAAGTGCACATGCAGTCAGTAACCTGTTTTGTGTATTCTTTACTTTGCAGTACAGGCCTCTACATGGATGTGTTATAACTGAATGTGCTTTGGTCCAGTGTTCAGTGTATTTAAATCAAACATTTTGCTTATTGTAAATGATGATTCAGATCAGCCATCTTTTACTGCAGATTACATATTTCTCCAACAGAATGTTACTTCATTTCATTATAAAAAAAAAAGATTAAAATAAGTATAATACACTGATTTACTGACTGCTGTTGACAGTATGTCCCTCTGTCTTGTTCCTGTCAAACACAGGCTTTCTGATGGGTATGCAAGGATATACAAAAAATGACGAGTGCGCTAACACACAAATGCACACACACACACTACTTAGCAGAACAGTGTTTGACCTTTTCTAAAGTACATTCATGACAATGAATAGTGTAAGCTTGAAAGCAGACATGTCACTCACAAAGCACATGCATCCAGGCTCACCAGGCTGCTGCCTTACTGAACAAACCATATGTCTTACCTAAGATGCAACAGAGGAAGAGCATAAGACATTTCCATGCTGTGCCAAATATGAAATCAAATCAATCATAACAAAGCATACAAACAACTAGCCTTTACTGTGTTGACTGTGCATAAAATGACACTGTGGCTGGCAGCAGCTGAGGGTTTGGGTAAGGAAAGTTTCAGATGCTACTGTTTTTGATTGCCTGGGCGTACTTGCTGGTGATTGTTATCATGTGTCTCACAGCACACAAGTGATTGACAATGGAATATATGTTTCCTAGCAACAGCAAAACGCCATCACTGCAAAAAAAGAAATAAAATAAAACACTTGTGTGATTTTGACTTGAGCTGTAGGGGAGAAAGGTAACGCTGTGCATCCCACTTTAGGTGTCCACTGTGCCGGGGCTCCTCATTCTCGGGCTCACTAGAAAAGTAATAGTGTCCTGATTTCTCCCAAACACCCTGGTTTCAGTGCTGTATATTGTCGGCAAATATCATATGAATCTTGCATCATATTATTAAATGTGTCACATTTTTCTGATGCACACCCACAGTCTTTTTTCTGGCTATGGTAGTGAACTAGGTTACTACAGTACCGAAGGTAATGAGCTACAGTAGTTATCCAGATATGCTAATAATTGTATTTTAAAGCACATAAACAGATTCAGTCCTGATACTTTTGCTCTATTTTTGGTTTTGGAAAGGTTAAAAACACCATTTAAATGCTGTGTGTTATTTTTACTGCTTTAAAATGCTGAGAAATTAAAAGATTGACAGGCCTTCTATGCCTAATTATAATTACTAAGGCTATGACTGGACAATCACTAGACAGGAGTGGCATCAGCTGACAAGGAGCTTAAATGAGCACTAATATTTTGAATATATTATATTAAAAGTCTATATACAGTATATTTTTTTAAATGTACCAGTTTTTCCTTCAGTTTTCCTCCATCCAGTTTGCTAATTAGGAAGGCTAGGCCATTTGTCATGAGGGACTGGATGTGGATTGAAACTACAATTCTCTCCCTTGTCTCTCCCCGTCCACTGCATTTTGCCAAAGGGAAATGTAAGTACATGGCAGAATACAACTAACTAATTCATATATCACTCAGCGAGTCCGAGAATGTTATCCTTCAGTGGCAGCATTCTGAACTGGTTTATGACAGCAGCCTGGCATTCAGGGGCACACATGTTGTACTTAATTTGATCCTCTGAGCAAGCGGGAAAAGAGCTTTCTATTACGTACATTCATCATAACAGGGACACTTACCAAACTGAAAAACAGCTTCTTCCTCTTCGTGTTGTTTATGTTGCTGCCTATGGCTTTTTTTCCATCTCTTCCACTTTTTCCTTTGGTCTCAGACAGATACCAACTTGATGCAATTAAATTTAGCCTTCATATAGCTTTTTCATAAACAAAGTGTGTTTGGTGTAAATAAGCTATGCATCAGAAGTAGAAATGTGTGTTATGTCAAGCTCATGATTTGTATCCTTGAGCCAGGGTTATAATAGTTTTCCATTTTTAAATTAGTTTTATTTTCATATTACTTTATCAGAATTTAAGTTTAATTTTACTTAGTTCTTCCAGTGGTTTCATTAGTTTCACTTTAGTTTTATTTTATGGACTAATTTCCATTTAGTTTGAGTTTATTTTTGTTTTGTTAAAGGTTTTGTAATTTTAGTTAAGTTGTCAAGGACCAGTGTGAAAAATAATTATCATGAAGATATTTTATGACTAAACTGCATTAAAATGTGCAATGCAACTGGCGAAGCCTGTTAAAGCACAAAAGGCAAGATGTGAATATTTGACCAATTTCGTTCAAGCCAGTTTAGTCCTCTCTCTACAATCTACTATTGCCTCTCCAGTGTGTGGATATAAGTAAATGTTAAAAATGCTTAAATAATTGTCCCCATGTCATGCTCATTTTGCTCATTTCCAGCCATTTAATGTTTAATTTTGGTACCTCTAGCTTTGCACCCATCACAACTCCAAATAGTTATTTCATGAGCAAGGGTTTGCGAGATGTGTAACAACCGAGTTGTTTCTGAATAGAAGTACTAGAGCATACGTACACCAAGATGATAACTCACCATTGTAACATTCTAGATAAGTCAAAAAACAAGAAAAAGCATGACATGGGCTTTTTAAAGTGTCATTGAAGAGTAAAAATGGGTTGTAGTGTAGTTAGTAATGTAAATATACTATTTGCATAATGGATGTCATTTGACAAGTTAGTGTTGTTAGTGTGTTTATTAGTGTTTATTGCAATAAAAGCAATTAAAATGTTAGTTGATGGTGCTCAAGATGTTTGACATTTGACCACTATAAATAGTTGTCATCTGGATCAGCAGCAAAGGTCTAGTTCATAAACATCTGTTAACATTTAATTGCTCAGAGCATGTAAAAGCAAACAGTTGATAGTTTTAAGTTAAAATATTAACTGATGGTGTTCAACAAGTTAGCTGCTTTTTCTCCTGAACTGAACAAACTGAACTGGAGAGGTCAGGGTGAAACAGCAAAATGTGACTTTTCAAGGCTACCGCTTCTTTTTTCTCATTCCTTTTTGTCATTACTTGAATCTGTTCCTTTATTTGCAGATAACAGTCATCCTTAATATGTTGGTTCAGTCATTGGTCATTCTCTTGCACTTCCACCTTTGATTATTGATTATCAGTCTTATAGTGCTTTGACTAAAGAAACCAATAGAAATACATTTAGGCAAGAATTAGTCATGGCTCTCATTGCCAGTATCCCAGTATTCATCACATTTATCTTGTCTCTTTGTTCATTATATGTGTAAAAAATTGTAAACAAACTATATGTCTGACAGACATATAGTTGTTTGTGTGCATAAATGTTTTACTATCAATTTCCCTGAAGTTTCTAAAAATGTCTGGAAAAATATTTCAAACTTTTTCATTTCAACTATATAGGCTACAATTGTGGTAATGAACCCAGGGACACACAGTTGATACTTTATTTTATGAGAGATTAAATTTGTTAATAGTTTATCACATTACAAATTAATAATATATTTTCAGTCTACATTAATAACTCAGTGTCTTCCAAACCTAAGCATTGTAGATACAGTATGTAGAACTGTGCTGGTTCAAAGTCCAAATACAGCTACATGTATCTCCATGTATTCAGCTGAGAAGAGCCAGCCACGTGGCATATTTCATTTTATTTCCTTTTCATTTGCCTCACTAGCTGAGTGAATGAGCCATAACTCTCCTCCTTGTCCTTTTCATCCTCCTGGGTTGAGTTCTTCACAGTGATGAAAATGACACAGTCTGGAGGAAAGCTTAGAAACACCGAAGAAACAAACAAATTACTGCAGAAAAACAAAGGGAAAGCTTACAAGGTAAGAAGTATGAGGGGTGTAGAGAGAGAGAGCCAGCCATAGTCTTTTGGGGGGCTGGTCAAGCGTTTGAACAGCGTGTTACCCCAGTCACAGAAGGTAGATAACCCAACACAGGAGGTATCCAAATCAAGTCTCTGGGAATCTGAACAGCAAATTGTTTTTACAGCCAACACAAGAGCTTAGAGAGAACTTTCCCACAGATTTCTATGAGTGAGCCATTGCTCTTTTTAGCTGCAGTTTGATAAAGGATGGAAAGCAGTGATACCACTTGTTTCCTTTCTGATCTAATACCAAGTAAACTGGTCAATGGGTACACTAACATTACTGTTACTGAAGATGTCTGGTGCCTTGTCATTTACAGTATGTGGATAAGTTTAACTGTATATTTACAGTAGATGCATGGGTAATTTTATTGCTCCTGTTCATCATAACAAATGTTAAAGGTGCTGTTAAATGATGTTCATTTATTTCCACTCCATTTTTAAATTATATCCCAACTGGGTGATTTGCCTATTACTAATAAACACAACCCAGCTAATTTTGACAGGGTGTGAAGCATTTATTCGGATTGCTGTAAACATATACTGTTAATACAGCTGTAACATTCATCTGTAATGCTGCATGGGCTGGCGCTGCTAGAAGACTACATGAATGAAGGGCTGAGGAGTGTTCAGGGACTGAAAAATTATTTGGCCCAAAATATCAACTGGCCAGCAGATTTAGACTCTCTAGAGACATGTGCTTGGATTCATGAATTGAAATGAGTCCAGCTTTATACCCAAAAGAACCATGCCATCCCGGTACAAATACAACTATTGGATTTCTGGCAATCAGATGCTTTCAACTAGAATTGTGTGGCAGCTAACACGTTTGATATTACTAACACTATGCTTACTTTTTTCCTTAACGCTGTGATAGAACAGGACAACATGAAATTGATATGTACAGCTACTGTATGTCTCGTTTCCCAAATGTAATCAGTGTGAGTAACATCACTCCAGTTTATTTTCATCAAAACATTGCCATATGATTAATGCCCAGGCTGTATGTGATGCTACCATGATGACCTGATCAAACACGACTCTTTAATCCTGACACATGATGTGAAGAGACACCCTCTATCTATGTTCAGGTGCCTCATTACCTACTGCGACTCTGCACAATAAATAAATACTTTCCACTTTTTATTTACTGTAAGTGTTTTTTGCTTAACCTAGGTGTTCACCAATAGGCTCTGCACTCCTCCTGCATTAGTGAGTGTCCCACTGTGAAATTGTCAAGTGCACGTGGGCTCTCTCGCC